GGGTTCAACCAACCCTAACCCCTAGATCCCCTTTCGGTGAACGAAAGAAGAAGAAAAGAAAGAAGAAAGAAATCAAACCGAAAGGGAAGGGAAAAGAACAAGAGGCGTGCACAATCAAACCCTAACCCTAATCCCATTCGGATGAACAAGCCAAAAGAACACAAGAAAACCCCATTCCCAAACCCTAACCCTAATTCCCCAAGGCCGGAATGGGGAAGAAAGGGACGGGAAGAACGAGAAAAGAAAGAACACGCTGCTCGTCAGATAAACTTACCACCGCGCGCTAAGAAGAAGAAGCGCCACCGTTTTTTTTTTCGGCAATGGCGCCGAGAAGAAACCGAGCCGACGCGCCGGCTCGCCAAGAAAGCCGCTGGTCGGTTGAAGAAAGCCGCTGCCAAGCTTAGTCAGCTGACGGCACGGGCGCGTCACCGCTGGGGAGCACGCGCAGCCGCGTAGGGGCCAACGACGCGCCAAAGCTCGCCCGGCTTTTCCTCGCCGCGGCCGCCATGGCGTGAGGACCGCCTCCACTGGCTACCCGAGAAGAGGCAAGCAATAGGAGAGAGAGGGGGAAGAGCCGAAATGGCTAGGGTTTTCAGGTGGCACCGCCGCCTGTTTTTTTGATCCACGCGAACGGCCGCCGTCTGGATCGATCGAACGCCGAGATGCTACTGGCCAAGTCGAGGCCCAAGTGAGCGAAGCACAAGGCGCTTTTGCCGGCCCAGCCCAAGTTGCGTCCTGGGTGCGGCTGGTATGCGCTTGCTGAGGCAAGCTGCCGCCGATGCTTTCAACAAGGCCTTACAAGCCGCTACCAATAAAATGAAAAGAAGAACAAGAAAAATTTTCTTATTATTTTCCGTAAACAATTTTAAATGCATATTTTGATGAATTTGAATGATTTTGATATAATTTTCACAGGCAAATTTTATCCAACTATATTTTGCTCGTGAAACAAAGGAATTTTAGTGTTTCACGGAAAATAATAATATGAAAACATTATTAATGTTTCACACAGGCATGATAATTATTGTTCTCTTTGATTAAATTTGAACCAACCTGGATAATTTAATTTTAAGAGAAATGGAATTTCTGATAATTTTAATGCGATTATGATATTGTTATTTTCTCGACCAACGTTGTTAATAATAATATTATAATTTTGATCCATAAGAAATTGTGCATTAATTTTACTTCAAACGGTGATGTAAAAATGTTTGCATGGATGAATAATAAGTTTTAATTTGACCAACGTTGAGTTAAAGCATGGAATTTTATGTATAAATGTTTCTTACTTACTTTGGTGTGATTTCGTGAGGCAAATGCATATTGTGAATATTGCCAACATCCCGACACTTCAACGGAACCAATCACCGTGGTGTAGCGGAGAAGTATGAATTGAACTTGCGCTGGGAGAGGTCGATTTGTTAGATCACCTCACCGTGGTCCTACCGAGCCAGAGGACCCGTGAGAGTGATAATGAAATCTGACGCCGATTTCGCATTTGCGAAAAGCGTGATCATGCTGAAATAAGAATGAAATATGACCTCTGAACATAGGCAATGGACTCTCTCCAACCGTTAAGTGCTCAAGCTAGCCAAAGCCACCATAGAAGAATGTATAAGGGGCTCAACTCGAATGTGCTAACGCTAAAGAATATCTTGGAGAAAATCAAGAGTCGGGCCATCGGGCCTACCAAGGCCACAAGAAGTTCATCGATTAAGAAGCTAGTGAATGAGAAATTCAACCGTGGTAGCATAAGAGGAGCACATTTTGAAGATGAACACTACGGCATCCAAGCTAAAAAGAAATGAATTTGAAGGAGGAGGATTTCATGATTCATTTGATTTTTGCTTCTTGCCAAAAGAATATGACACCTCATTGTGAACTATAACATGCAACCAAAGATGGGGGCATAGAAAGACTCTATCTCAATGTGTGCTCAAGAAGAGGAGGAGAGGATAAAGTCCTCACAAGGTGAATATGCTCATTTTGTGAAGGACAACAAAAGAAAGAACTTTTAATGGCAAGAATTCTAAACCACAAGGGAAACCTGGGGATAAGACCTTCCTCCTCCTGCTGTGGAAAGAAACCCTGTGATTTCGAGAATCGCTAGTATGGTGGAGCAGTAAAAGATCACAAGCATCGCTCAAGAAGGGACACTACAAGAGGGATTGTCCAAGATTTCCCAAATCTCTGCTAAAAGAAAGGTGATGAATTTATTACATTTGTAGATGAATCTCTCTGATTTATAAGCAGGATAAATCCACTTGGTGGGTTGATTCAGAGCAATCACTCATGTTGCAAAATTCTTTACGTGGGGTTAAGTGGACGAGAACCTTGCAAAGAGGAGAAAGAACTGATTAAAGTTAAATGGATCGCAAGCCAATGTTGAAGCTTATTGGAGATTTTTCTTTAGAATTGAATAATGGTTTTGTATTTAGACTTAAAGAAGTACTTTATGTTCCCTCTTTTATGTAGAAATTTGATAAGTGTTTCAAACTTGATGATGATGGAATTGATTGCCATTTTGGTGATGGCAAGTGTAAGATACTAGTTAATAATAATGTGTTGGTCTTGCCTTCCCGACAAGACAAGCTTTTATTTATTATCTCTTGCTGAGAATGCTAACAATGTATGTGATGAGAATGTGAATGATTCTATCCATCATGGATGTAACTAAGAAGTTTAAAGAGAATTGATATCGCCCTCTTCTGAAATTATGGCATTGTCGCTAGCCATATTTCTTGAGGGGGAGAATGGAACGATTGGTTAAGGAATCAATTCTTCCGCACTTAGAATTTTCGATTTAGAAAGCAATGTATTGATTGCATCAAAGGAAAGTATGTCAAGAAAATTAAGAAAGATGCCAAACGGCAATGGTATTTTAGAAATAATCCACACAATGATATATGTGGTCCTTTCCGTGGAAAAGTGTGGATGGTTAAGACTCGCTTATAACATTCATGCATTTATTACTCTCAAGTACTGGCAATATTTATCCAATTAAAGAAAGATCGGAAGCATTGGATAAATTCAAAATATTTAAAGTCAAGTTGAAAATCAGCACAATAAGAAAATCAAGATAGTACGATCGCATCGAGGTGGAGAGTACTATGGGCTATACAATTCTATATGGCCAAATTCCGTGACCATTCGCAAGGTTCCTACAGGAAAATGGCATAGTTGCTCAAGATTCCACACCGTGGAGCCTCAGCATATAATGGAGTGGTTCAAAGACGAACTGCATTCTTAAATGGATATGGATAAGAAGCATGATGAGTTATCTTCCACATTACCGTATTAGTTTATGGATGGAGGCAATCGAAACCGCCATTCACATACTTAATCGAAAGTAATTAAGTAAATCGGTGCCTAAAAGACCGTGATGAATTATGGATGAAGAGAACCCTCACTCAACCATTTGCGTGTGGGCTGTCCAACCGAGGCAAAAGTGTTTAACCCAAACATAGGAAAGTTAGACTCTAAGATGCGCCAACCACCATTTTATTGGCTATCCGTGAAAGATCGAAGTGATATCGCTTTCATTGTCCCTCGACTGCATATACTAAGATTAGAAACAAGACACGCCGGTGTTTTTGGAGGATAACATGACTGTGGGGGAGCATGGTAGCACGAGAAATCAGTTTACAGGAGAAGCTACATGTACCCACTCCGATGGTTGAAGAACCATTCTTCACGCTTACTCGGCATTGCTTGCACCGACAAAGCAGTGACAATCAGAAAGTGCCAACACTTGCTGCAAGTTCCCTCCGTGGCGGGCAATGAATGAACATGAGGAACTCCGCCCTGAGGAACCTATCCTTGAGGAACCTATAGAACCAAATGATGCACATGAGGAAGAACAACAACAAATAAATGTGGAAAATTTGCCTTGGTGAGGCACCTAGAAGGTCTCAAAGAATAAGAAGATCACCTGCCACATCGATGACTATGAAGTTTATGAAACAGAAGAATGTCGATGGGGATGATCCCACCTCATTTGAAGAAGCCATGAGAAGCTTACCACTCATCAAAGTGGCTTAAGGCCATGGAAGATGAATTGAAAATCAATGAGTACCAATAAAGTTTGGGATTTAGAAAATATTCCTAAAGGAGCCAAACAAGAGGGTCGTAAATGGGTTCACAAAATCTAAATATGACTCCCCAAGGGAATATAGAAAGATTTAAAGCGCGACTTGTATCGTAAAAGGCTTCACTTGTAAAGAGAAGGGATTGATTACAATGAGACGCTTGTCCGGGTCCTCATGTAAAGATTCCTTCGTACTTATAATGGCACTTTTGTAGCCCACTATGATTTGGGAGTTGCATCAAATGGATGTAAAGACGGCTTTCCTAAATGGGGATTTGAAAGAAAATAATATTTATATGGCACAACCGAGAGTTTAACATAGGGTATGTTAACTCGATAGGGAGGTAACAAATTGATAGATCCCCTAACCGAAAATCTACGAATTTCTCGGAGGCTATATACCCATCAGGTACGTCGCACATAGCCTCGAGCCCGAGCATGCCGCCGCAGTTGTTGCTGGGGCTTGGCCACAGCCCTGGACTCCCAAATGATGGGAGCCCGGACCTAGCCTCCACCGTGGCAACGGCATGGGCTTTCGCTCGGGCAACAACCGAGGTCCTGAGCCATGACCAGAAGCCGGCTCAGGAACTTGTCCGGCGCCCAGAGCCTGGCAGACATAGAGACGCTACACCGTGTGCCCGTTTTATAGCCACGAGGCAATGTCGGCCACTCCCTCTGCTGCAGGGTCACGCAACGGGCGAGACGCATAAGACACGGAACTCCCTAGGCTCCGAGGGCAGGGGGTTCTGGGCTTGTACGTCAGCCCCTCTAAGCACAAGACACGTTCAATGACAAAGACAAACGACGAAAGAGACAGCACGTGACGCAAATTCCACAAATAAGACGTAGAGACAGACACAAAAAGTCAAAAAGGAGGCAGCAAAGTTCGCGTTTGCACGCGCGCGTACATGCATCACGGGCCGGCGTACAGATGCGCCGGGAGCCTGGGCTCGGCGACAGCGTCGAGCCGGACCATGCGCGGCGTGGACAGCCCGAACGTCTCCTCCATGCTCAGCTCCTCCCTGGAGACGCCATCCGGCAGCTTCCACGCGTAGCCGTGCACAAGGTTGGCCAGGATCACCTGCACCATCCTCAGCCCGAGCGAGACGCCGGGGCACATCCGGCGGCCGGACCCGAAGGGCAGCAGCTCCAGGTCGTGCCCCTTCACGTCCACGCCGCTCCCGACGAACCGCTCCGGCCGGAACTCGCCGGCGGCCTGCCCCCACACGGCGGGGTCGCGTGCGATGGCCCAGACGTTGACGAACACCAGCGCGCCCGCCGGGATGTCGTGCCCGCCCACGGACACATCCTCGCGCGACAGCCGGGGCGCCAGCATGGGCGACACTGGGTGCAGCCGCATCGTCTCCTTCACGACGGCCTCCATGTACGGGAGGCTCGCGATGTCCCCCTCCGTGACAAGGCGTTCGCGGCCGATGACACGGTCCAGCTCCTCGGTGGCCGTGGCGAGGGCGTCGGGATTCCTCAGGAGCTCCGACATGGCCCACTCGATGGTCACCGACGTGGTGTCCGGCAATCCAACGAGGAGGTTCTGCAATCCAAGTGCAAGCATGCATGCACATGTCGTCGTCGTCAAGCATCAGACTAACAATGGAGTTTAATTTGTTACTCCAGTACGCCTTACATACCAGCGTGAATGCCTTGACGCCATCTCGCTCGATCGGGACCTCGAGGTTGGGATCGTCGGCGAGCTCCAGCAGCAGGTCCACCGCGTCCGTGGCGACGAACTTGTCCCCCGCTCGCCGCCGCCGCTCGCTGTGCTCGTCCACAACATCGTCCAGGAAACGGTCGAACATCTCTCTGAGCCTCTTCATCCTCCTGACATGCCCGTGCGGGTCCAGCCAGCTGAGCCACGGGATCATGTCCCCGATGTCCAGCCCGCCGCTGAGGAAGAAGAACTCTTCGATCATCCACTTGAACGCCTCGGTCGTCGCCAGCAAGCCACCGGCTGCCGCCGACCTGCCGTCGACGTCGACGCCGACGGCGTGCTTCTTGCCCAGCACCATAAGCGAGATCACATTGATGGTCAGCTGGAACAAGTGGTCCATGAGCCGCACCGGCGCCGCCGCCGCCCAGCCAGCAGCGGCGGCGTACAGGTCGCGCAGCATGGCGCGCACCTCCCCCTCCCGGGCGTGCTCCTGCGACCTCAGCCGCGCCGCGCTGAACACCTCGGCCTTGCAGAACTTGCGCGCCTGCCGCCAGTACGCGCCGTAGGGCGACCACAGCATGTCGGAGTAGTTGTAGCCTGTGTACCTGCCGGACGCGGTCCTGGGGCGGTCGATGAACGCCAGGTCGTGCGTCTTGAGGAAGAACCTGGCCATGTCGACGGAGGAGCCGACGACGACGGGGAGGGAGCCAAAGCGCAGGGACATGAGCGGCCCGTAGCGCTTGGAGAGCTCGTGGACGGACCGGTGCGGGAGTGGGCCGATCAGGTTTAGGTTGCCGATCACCGGCCATGGGCGAGGGCCCGGTGGGAGGTTGTACTTGCGAGAGGGGTTCTGGAGGTGGTGGTGGAGTGTGGATACCAGGAAGAGCGCGATGGCCAGCACCACGCCGAGGAAGGAGGCCCAAGGTGGTAGATCCATTGGGAACTTAATGATGAAGTGATGAACGTGTTTGAAGCGAAGTGAGTATATGGTTGCACTTGAAACTTGAATGTAGACACGCTTGAGCCACTTATATATAGCCGTAAGGTTAGCCAAAAATTATTGAACAAGTTTATTGTTAGGAGAAAAAATATTACTCCCTCGGCAGCCTGCGCGTGCCCGTGCCGGCCCTCAGCCGCCACCGTCGTGCGAGGTCGCTGCAGCCACGCCGTCGCCACCGTGCCTCGCCGCTGTCGTTGCGGATGCGCCGCGCGCCGCCGGCATGTGGATGCACCGCCAGCCACGCGCGCCCACCGTGGGGATGCGTCGTGGGGAGAGTATGCGCACGCCACCACACAGGCGCTAGGGCCTGAGGGCACGCAACCGTCAGGACCTGAAGGCGCTGGGAGACTGGGAGATCAGTAGAGTGAGAGACAGGGGAGTGGCGCAGTGAGAGATCGAGAGAGACGGAGGCTGAGGAGCTAGGGTTTGGAAGAGTGTTACGTGGCTCCGAATACATCCAATGGTTAGCATCTATCCTCAGAGCATCTGACAGTGGAAATAATCGGATCAGCGTCGTGCCAGCCCATTAACCGTACCGTGCCGACACTGTAGGCTGAAGTTGCGGCCAGGCACGGCACTACTACCGAGCTGTGCCAAGCATGACAAATCTTGGCCGGGAACCAATGAGACCCTTGTTTTTTTGTCCCGTAGCCGTAGAGATTCAGTAATAAAGGTTCCGTCGCTCAATTTTTGATTGAGTCTGCCCCCTCGGCGAGGAGGGGGAAGTTAAAGATAAACATCACCTACGCCACATGCTAGGAAAGGGTGTCCCACAAGCTAGCCACAACGTGGATCTACACGCTACGTGTCCCTGTTTCGACCCATATGTTTGGCGCGGTTCACCATGGTTGAATAGACAATGAGAGAGACGAGACGAGGACACGTCGTCATTCTTAATAAGTTTTGTACGTTTGAAACATTGTTGATTTAGACCGTGATCGTAACCTTCATCTATCTGCCAAAGATATATCTGTTCGATTTAGGACACATCTTCCTTTTCTTATTTTTTACTAGGGGTCTGTTCGCTTGGAGGAATTCTGGAGGAATTTGGATGGTTTGGAGGAATACTGGAGGAATTTATGAGAGAAAAACACTGTTCTAGATGAAAAAAAAGCGGATCAAACCGGGTTTAAGGACACGCGAACGGAGCCTAGCAAACATATCCGTGCGTTACAACAAGAGGAAATCAAAACTTATATCTCTACTTAGTTACTAAAGATATGTATATTTGGCATTTAATCCATCGGCAACGAAGCAATAATTACATTAGAACATTGACAGTCTATAAAAGTGCAATTTGGAATAATGCCAGCCAAATTAGCAAATTCCTTGTGCCGTGCAAAATAAGTAGAAATATATAAACATATATTGTTTTTAAATCAAATATATAAATATATTTAATTATCCATGAAAGAGCAGGAAAGTTTAGTGGAAAAGAGGAATCCCTGCAGGCAGCCCGCCTCGCTCGCTAGGGCTCCGGCCTAGCGGCTACGTCCGCTATGGCGTCGCTGCTGCCGGCATCCGCCACCTCCTCCCACCCCTTCTCCTTCTCCGCTCGCCTCCCCACCCCCAACAAATCGTCGTGGCCGCCTCGCCACCCGGCTGCCACCGCCTCCCACGGCGCCACATGCGGCGCAACCCCCGTTGTCGCTTCCCAGTTAGATTGGACAATAAACTACCCAAGATTTCTGTTTATGATTTAATTAATTAGACCATTAACTGATCTAGGTTATAATAAGAATAATTTTTATTCTTAATCAATTTACATCAATAATTTAGTAGTAGGAATATTTAATTATTAAGGATTAGGGAAGGATGAAGGATCCAAAGATCCATAATATTGTGTTTATTATTTATTTTTATGTTTATAAGAAAAATCATGAGAGAAATGGAAAAATAAAAATGACATGCAAAATAATAAGGGAAAGTGCATGAAACGGACCAGGCAGTTCACAAAAGAAAAAAGAGAAAAAGGAGAAGAAAAACAAAAAGAGGAAATGAGGAAAAGAAGTGGAACGAATACGAAAATGAAAAACGGATGGGATACAGTAATTGATAGGAGATAGTCTTAAAAATGGAAAAAGGCCGAACAGACGGTGAAATAGGAAAAGGAAAAAAAAAACGAATTTACTATATATAGTAGTCCTATTAGGTATGGACTTTTTTCGCATGAGTATGGACCCTTTGGTTAAACAGACCATACACAACCCAATACGTTTTGGAATCGGACGTCGTATTGCGCTAGACAAGAGCCAGGGGCGGATCCAACCGCCGGGGCTCGAGCCCCCCTACCTATACCAGCAGCAAAGGAACCCCCATGAATTTTTAGGCAAAGTTCTATAGTGTAGGTGGGGCTAAGACTTAAAATCGAGTAGCGATCGGAGGTATGTGTTGTTCAGCCCCAGTAAAAAATTTTCCGGATCCGCCAATGAGCTATTCAAATTTGTATGAGCCTTGGTTATATATATAAGTCAAGGCGGAAGAAACTCTCAACTACCGGTAGTTAGGGGGTTGGATGAAAAAATAGCCAGAATTTTGCCTCTTTATTACTAGGTATAGATATTGATAAATATGCATTATTTATTGAACTTAATTATAGGCTTGACCTATTTTAATTTAATTAAATCAAATAAACTAGAAAACAGCGCGGCTTTTCCGCGCCTTATATAAATTTGGGCCAGTGTTTTGGCCACCTTCTGATGGAACGTGCAAGCGTATTGTGCACTGGTTATTTAGGTTATATTTGTTAACATATTGCATGTAGATATATAAAATAGATCACTTTTTTTTAGATATAGTTTTAATCTGTCATCCCTGATTATCCTGCCATAAATTGCACATTTCAAGTGATAACGTTGCTTCGTGGTCATCACGAGAATCTCCTGAAGAAATCAATGCAGGCTGCCAGCCTTTCAAAGTTTCAGAATCCACTTTGTACACTACTTTGAAAACCACCGAGTATGCTTCCAAGTAACGACGGCTTAGTGAGGCATCCATGTGAGGATAAGATATTTTAAAAAGTGCATTCGACCTATATAATCAATACCTAGGATGGTGAATATCATGCATTCAATTGATCACAACAATATTCAGCTAACTACAGTTCAAATTGTAGCTTTAGTTTTTGTTTGACATAAATGAATACAACTATGTATTTCTAATTTCAGTTCTTACACAAATTTATAGATACATTTGCAGCATGCTGGCAATCCCTGAATTCATAGGAATTGATCTAATTACGGGTAAGCTATTTAGTAAGTGTAATCTGAAACATGTTAGCTAGTGTGCGAGCAGGACTGCTATGTAAAGAGGAATTAATATATCTCAAAACCGTAAGTAATTGCTAGGAAATAAGCCATAATACCAAATGTGTTAAGCATAATCAAAATACCAATAGATAGAAAATCTATACAATCAGTTTCAGAATTTAGGGATGCATCATTATTTTTTCTATGTATTTTATTTCTTGTATGAACAAGTACATACACACTGAATTATCTAGCTTGTACTATTCACCTCTTTGAAGCACGGAGAGGCTTTGGATGGCCGCCGCTTCAGCGCTGCTTCCCTGGCGGTCAGCAACGACACTGCCTGACGATCAGAGCAGGGGCGAAAAGCTTCACCGGCGACCATGCAACGGCCGGCTCTGAGTATGGCCTGTCTCCGTGTGGATTTTTTGTAGGCTAGTAGCCCTTCAACGGAAAATCACGTGCAGCCACAGTTGTGGGCTCGTGGCAGAGATGGGCTGACGGCGGGGTGGAGGCAGAGGGATGACGCGGAGGCGCGCTGGGAGGCCGGAGGAGGGTCGCCGCGCAGAGGTACGGCCGGTGCGTGTTGAGGGGCACGACGGCGCGGAGGAAACGGAGCTGAGATGGACATGGACCCCGGCACTATCGGCCGAAGAGGCATGCGGCTCGCGCCGGCCGCGGCGGCGCGCGGCACAACTCCATAGAAGGGCATGATTGGGGCGGTGAAGTCCAGGCGCAGCGCGCTTCGACGCCCGTGCGGCTGGCTGCGTTCGCGTCGCCTCGCCACTCGCCGTGCCCTTGCTGCCGCCCACTCTCCGTGAGGGAGCACGACGGGCCAACGGCCAGAGAAACTTCGCGAGCGTCGGGTGGGTGTAGAAGCGGGTAGAGACCCGAACCGCTCCAGATCGGACGTTTCATGTTGCTTGCCTGCTTCATCCGACGGCTAGTGGGTTTGTGGGCGACGTAGCCCTTTTCGTTAGCCCGCTTTTTGTGAAGCTATGCGACTAGAAATTGGTTCCTATGATCGAAGTTATATACTATATAACATAGGCCTTATACACACATGCAATGGAGTTGAACACAATCCGAGACAGAAATCAATAGGCGTTTCATGCAACAACTGTCACATTCATATATAGGTCCCATTAGATATCTTATATTATTATCATTAGAAATTTGTTCACTGGCACTGATGTATATCTACTACAGTTTCTTCAAGGACATTATGATAAAGGCAGATTTTGACATCTCTTGCTCAAGGTGCTTGGACATGAGACATGCATAATCTGCAAACAGTAAGTCAGGTATGGTTTCTCCAAAATGACTTGCAATCAAAGGCTCCAGCAATGCTCTAACAAACTTAGAAACATTGATACCACTACGGACGCTGTCATGGACATCATCGCCTTCTGTATCATCATAAGGATCCCAACTTAGCTCAACTAATTTGATGTAATCCAATTTGAACATGTGGCTTTCCAAGACCATTTCCTTCACTTCAGAAATTGATGGCCCATACAGCGGTAGATAAAAAGCTTCTAGTCTTTCTTTGTCCACAAGGCCCTATAGATTATGATGAACATCATTGTTTATTTAAAATCCCAACTGATTTCTAAAGTTTAAACCACACAAAAAAAAATGTAAAACTAACTTTATACGTTCCACTCTTACTTACCTTTGCAACAAGAGATTGTAATGATCTTGCAAGTAATCCATAAAGTTGGTTCATGTCTCCATTATATACATCCTCGTCCTTCCTCCCAACAAATGTTAAAACCATTTTCCCTCCATATACAAGTTCTTCATGACGCAGCTTGAGGAAGAGGGAGAAATCCTTATGGAACTGCTCCTGGAAGCACTTCACCACAAATGACGGTGTGGTCTTTGTGATGTAAATATTATCTTTGTTTAACAGAGTCCCATTTCTTGCATGAAGTTCTTCAGGTACCTGTCGTATGTTGCATTTCAGAACATTGCTCTAAACTCCGAAGAACTGCAAGAAAATTGCCATGGACAAATGAATGCATGCATAAATAACTTCTTGCAATAAGCGTTGATAGAAATACCTGAGAGCGCCAATGAAGGCAGCAAGCAGAGTGAAAGACATGGACACTTCAACGAGGAAACAACCTATTGTAGTATGACTTTGGCAACCCAGAAATGTAGTACACAGGTGGTGTGTACCCCACTTGTTCCACTATTGTACCTTGGTTCAATTTTTCGAGTGAACTGAAGAGCTGGTTGAAGTCATTACCTGGTAGGTCATTAAGGAAGATCTGAAGTTCCACAGGATCACATTCACCAATAGATTTACTGCATTGGCCAGCTATGATGTTTATCACATTGGAGATGAAGAGCAATGTGTTTGGTCCGGAAGAGCATCCTAGGTCAGCAATGACCATGGTTTCGGGGACAAGAGCAATACATACTTCCTTTATGGCATTCTCAACGATTGGCATAGTTTGTACCATAAGCTTCTCCTAGCAGTATGCACAGAGGGGAAATATATCATACAACATGTTAAAGACGTTGTTTAATAAAACATATGTATATGCTATATGCATTCAACTTTGGTGGAGATTACAATATCAATAATCCATTCTGACAAACTATAATAGCAGCATATAAGAGTTATATTTGTGCATGAATGGTAAAAGGGGATTAGAAGAGTACTTGAACCCTCGAATTCTTTGCGTAGCTATGTTCTCCATCCCCTTCAGCCATGTGAAAGTCGCGTTGTAGATTTATCATCATGACTACAAATTTCGTTGGTATAATTTCCTGGTTGTTCAAAAGAAACAAAGAAAGCACCCAATGAATCTGAATGCTCTTCATCACAGGGTTCAATTTATAGTAGCTAGAATAGATACCAGAGACCTGGCACCTATGGTGCACCAGACGTCTTCAAAATATCTGCCAAATTATGGGTGGTTCAAATGACAAATAATTGATTATTGTTTGATTTATGTAAAAACTTAAGGCTTTGATTTCTCATCAACGAATTAGAGGGTAACAGATTTTTTGTCTTGATTGTACCTGCGCCACTCGATGTATAAGGACAAGTATATATGTTTTGATTAAGAAACTACAAGACCATGATGCGTATAAAAAACGACATAACAATGACAGATTATATATGCTTGTATGGCAGCAAATGGCCGGAAACACATGCTACAACCTAGAGGAGCACGTGCTGCCTAGCTAATGGACAGCAACGACATTTCAATGTAAACTTCAACTTCACCCCGCCATCAACTTTTGCTCAATACATGTGGGGGCTTCGCCCGGCCTCCTACACTCGCTATGGGATAGCGCGGAGGAGGCTGAGGGTGTCCCACATGTATAGGAAAAGCAAGGGTTACTAAAAGAGGGACAGGTGTGGGACCAAGAGTAAATTTAAAGAGTAAATGGTCATTAATTCATTATCCGAAATAGTAATGATCCACGGGTATTTATAGGCCAGATTCGTGGCCAATAGTAAACTACAATTGCCCCTAGCCAGGCCGAGGGTCCTTTTACTCGGCGACGCAGGGCATCGATGTCATTTGACCCCTCGGTCCCAACCACTCTTCTAACAACGTTGGGATCTCCATTTTTTTGGGTGGGGTGGGGGGTGCACCGTTCTTCGTCTCCTCCAAACGGCAGTTGGGCGGTGGCCTGAGGCCTCCTCCACCTGCCGATGCCTCGTGGGCGGTCCTCTGCCCTGTAGAAACAGAGAATCAAGGCGCCCCTCATCGGCGGTGCTGGTTAGGCAGCGCGAGGTAGGAACCCTCAACGTGGGTCCCTGCCGGTGGTGCTCCCGGGCTCGGTTGTGTTGCGGGGCCAAAGGCGGGGGTTCTGCCCTGACCAAAGTGAGGGTGGGGTGTCACGTGAAGGGCGTTCCCCCAAGAATACACTTGCCATTTGCATTGGTGTCAGCTTCAACTCTACCTTGTCGTGTCCTTCAGCTCGAGAGAATCATCGTCTATATATGTTGGTGTCAATTTGAACTCTGGCTCACCATCACCTTCAGCTAGAGAGGGGTTCACCGACAGCATCGACATTGACTCCAACTCTACCTCACCGTCACATTTGGCTGGAGGACCGCCCAGCCAAATGTCTTTTTATGTTTTTTTTTCTTTTGAAATTTCAGCCGGAGCACCCATAGCTTGTATTATGATATGTTTTGTCGCAAAACGTGAGGTTTAAACTTCGTCTATAGTATATACGAAAATGACAACATTCTTATGCATATATATGATGGCATTATGAAAAGATGGAGGCAGCTTTCCGCACTACAATTTTATAACCCCTGTAGAACCACCGAAGATGCAGATATCTCAGCAGTTTATCTTTCAGAGCTACAGGTTGAAGTGCTGCCGATTATATTAGAAAGACGAATAAATGCAGATTCAGCAATACTTTCTTTGTCCAGAAATGATATTTTGATTAGAGAAAATCATATTTTATTAAGTTGATCAACAATTAGTCAAATTATTGCAATTTAGGACTTATATTAGAAAGACGAATAAATGCAGATTCAGCAATACTATTCATAATTGCTTCTAAGATGATATTGATGATACATTATAAGGGCAAATCAAGGATAAAAATCTATTTTGTTTGACTTCTCTGATTTTTCTGATCAAAATGTGCCTATTGTTTAATAATGGAGGCCGGGTACAATAAGAAACAAAACCCACGGGATGGAGCAAAAACAACGGTACAAACACCAAATCTATATCTATCTACCAGAAGGAGCAGCAACTGAAGAAACTAGCAAACGAAGAACACCACAGCCGTGCCACGAAAATACCGCACAAATCTTATCACCGCTTTGCCTCCTCACACCAAATCTTATCCCTATAAATATTTCAATGCACATTACAAGAAGTCATCGATTAATTCACCTGTTTCTAATCATAATATTGTGATTTTTCGTTACGAAGATCCAGATGTCTTATATCTCCATCAAACCACCAGTAGCGCCCTAGCCAGTATATACATATTTATATAGGACGTGTTTAGTTCTAAGAAGATCCCTCGTATTTTATTTGCCCGGAAAGCAAACCTTTAGATTCTATCTCATCTATTTTAAATTATAAAATATTCTGATTTTTCTAGATATATAACTTTTGTTATATATTTTAATATATACTATGTTTAAATATATTACAAAAAATAATTTATCAAAAAAATTAAAATGTCTTATAATTAGGGACAGAGGGAGCGCTACCCGCATGAGACGGTGGCAAGGATTTTTTTTTTCTTATACTCCGTACGTGGGATATCGAGTTTGACTTGTCTCTAGGCTTGTCTTGTTATGCGAGCAGAGCCGACGACCAAAGAACAAAACAGGGCCAATGTTCCGGTGGCCACAGATTTGTGATAGCTCTAGCGATATTATTATTGTGTTTGCAACGATGACTGATGTGTCGAAAAAACAACAAAACTGAAGCCATCCGACCGATTCTGACTTGATGGAACGCTGCAAGTTTTAGCCGTTCATCTCACCGGTCATGGCCCAATGAGTGTGTCCATGTGTAGCTTTGAAAAGTCGCGACGGGGTGTTTCTGTTTTGGCCGTTGCAGTTGCAGAATTTTTAACACTGAAGATAGGTCAGTTGCACGATGCCGGCCACACCTTTCAGCAATCCGATCCGTATGGGATCATCTCCAACAGCGTCGATGCGGCCCGGATGGGATCGACCTCAGCGGAGACGGGGAAGACGCTTCTGGCGGCGAACAGAGGACACGACACGATTCACATTTGGGGGTTTTCTGTGTTGAGATATTTGTTAGTGATGCACAGGACACAGAGAGATAGCGCTCGGACGTCTGGACAGACACCTGCATTTGGACGCCCGCACCAGCTCCATGTCACGTGCCCCGTCTGCTCATATTCGCACGCTGCACGCACGCAGGGACCGCCCGCACTGCCCGGGCGATGTGCCCTGCCCGTGCCCCTCCGTTTCCCACGCGCATGCCGAGACCGCCCATGCCTGCTCTGTTTCGCGCGCACACATGCAGGAATCCACGCGCCCTGCGGATGCACGCCACGTGACTTCGGCCGTCCCATCCAAGAGTTACGCTTGAAACATGAAACAATTGAAATATGAAATACTTGATGCAACATATGTCTGGAACAGCTGAAACATTCGGAATATACACATGCAACATATGTGTGAAACATATGCAACATCCAAATAAACACTTGCAACGTACGTCTGAAAAAGATGAAACAATTTGAATAAACTCTTGCAACATACATATATAGCAATTTTAACATATGCAACATCCGGATCTATGTTTGCAACATTCATATGAAACACTTGTAGCATACATCTTAAACATCCGAAACACTTATGACATACGTTTGCAACTTAACATGCGCTTTCAGCGCATCATCTCCTTGCTGAGGTCACGCGTCGCGGCGGCCATGGCCTTCCTGGTGGGATACTGCGGAAGCGGGAGCAAGCTCGGGTCGGTGGTGGTGCGGCTTCCTGCCGAGGTGTCTTTCAGTCGACCGCGAGCGATGACGTCCTGGCTGGCGGAGACCTTCTCATGGTGGCGCCGTGTGGTGGTGGCGCGGTGCACTCCATGGACATGACGGGCGAGGCAAAGTGGGGCGCGGCGGTGGATGGGGCGCAGTAGGGATGGAGCGTGGCGTTGCGGCGAACATGGCGTGGCGCGGGATTGGGGCACGGTGGGGATGGCGGTAGTGGTGAGGCGGAGTGGGGCAGACGGACGGCGCGGTGAAGCCGTGACGGGCGAGGCGAGGGGACATTTCTGTCGCAGAGTGCTGTATTTTTTTGGGTAAAGTAGAGATTAGAGAGATGGGAGAGAGCGTAGAGGGGAGCAGGTCTGTTGCCTTTTGGACCGGACTGCTGCGCAAGCCCGACAACACGACGTCTGAATGGATGGACGCCCTGCACAGAGCATTATCTCAAAGAGATAAAGGAGAAGGGAGCTCGGTATTTCACTTCTGGTGATGAATTACAGAGGAGACATGATTAGTCTCCTATTTATAGCGGTGTCCAGAAACCTCTCCCGTTAATTACCCTCCCACGTGGGCCATTAGGCATCTCCATGTGGTTGTCTTTATATTATTAGCACCCACGCGTTTCAATAGTATTTCACTAACATCGAGGTTTCATAGCACTCCCCGTTGGGTGAATCATACAGTGTGCGTGCCTCGTCAAAAACTCTCCCAAAACCTAGTGGGAAAAAACATAGGAGAAAAGAGTACATTACATGCGCAAGTTGTGTTGCATCTGTTGCCTCATTAAAAACCTTGCGTGAGAAACCCAGTGGGAAGAACTCGCCAAGGTAAAAAAGTACAACAGTTTGATCTCAGAATCTAGTCTTCAGGACCTACTTGTAACATTTAGGTCTTCATGACCTACTGGTCTTCAGGACCAGTTTGTGATCTTCTGAACCACAACTGCGTACTATGGTTAAAAAGGGGTTTTCTCCCCATGATCCCTACAACT